CGCTGACCCGCAGGTAGTGTGATCAAATCCCGGCTGCGGCGTCTGCATTTTCGATAGCGGCGAAAATGCTGTAGGCCCCTGTGCTCAAATTTGGGTGCACGTTAAAGAACCCCTGGTGGTCGAAATTTTCGGAGCCCTCTTCTACGCTGTCTCTCATAATCATATGGTGGTTTTCGGACGTTAAACCCCACACATAATGAAAGATTGCTCCACCTTTTGAATAGCCTTGAATTTCTTTGGAGCTTTGTCGCGTAGGAGATTATTTGGTTTACACCCAAATCGAGAACACATCATTGCATGCAAACGATTTACTTCACCATGGAGGATTTGAAGCCTCGACTATAATAACATGGTCTTTACTTGTTTTGCTTGTTCGGTCCCCCTCCTGGGTTTAGGTAGCAACTACCTTTCAGTGTGTGGCTTGATCATGGTATCAAATACTTTGTTGGAGTAACGACTGTCTCTTCACTTATGTTCATATTTATGCCCTGTATATTATTTGAATGCAATAAGCATTAATGAGCTCATTTTGCAGAAATTGTGACGTTAGTGTTGGCATCTTCGGTTATGCGCAAAAAGAACATGTGGTATCCATCACCATAAAATCAAGAAAGTTGCCAATAAAATATACAATAAAAAAACTTCAGTACCAGTGAGATTTGAACCCAGGCTGTCTGCGTGGAAATTAGGTATTCATCAATAGAACTGCCACTCAATTGATTTGAAAAAAATGAAACAAACAAAACAATATGAACGTCACGTAGTTCTAATTCTTATAAATATTGTGTCTGACCAAAAAAAAAAAAAACCAAGGTCTCATATTTGCACTTTTTTGCTTCATGTAGTAGAAAGAATCTTCTTAACGCACTGCAATTTTACATGTTAGAATCACAGAATCTCATCCGGTGTCAAAACGCTTGAAATGCGTTACAAGTGGGCATTTGAAAGGATTACCCATTACAGGGTGCTCAAAGAGGTATGTTCGCGTGCTGCCTTCCGCATATGCAATGGGCCATTAGCAGATTCGCAAAAGGAACAATTATGACATAGTTGGCACCAAACAATTTCGCTTGCAGTAGGCATTCTACGGTAATTTGAAACGGCCAGTGCCGCACCCACAGTCGTTTGTTCTCTCACTGCAGGGTTAAGGTATGCACCGAGATCAACGCTAGGCTAAAAATTGAGAACGTGATTCGCACAGAGCCCAACAGTTAGTTTCCTCTTCCTCAACTAGCTACTACACTAAGGAGGGAAGGTGTTTGAGGTTCGGAATGGGTCCCCTCCATGACTTGAGTGCACAGTGGCAGCGCGAAGGAAGAGCCGCAGTCCAGTGAAGAGACGCTTTCTTGCAGCCTCAGGCATCTGCCCGAGCCCAAGCCTGAACCTCCGCTCCCCCAATTCAGATTCAAACATCCTTTTTTCAATCCTCGGTTGAACAAAGGGTCTTCACACAAGGCACCGCATTGGTAAATATCACATTATGAAGTACAACACGACAGAGGATAGGTTCTCCATGTGTCACACTCTCTTATACCAGGCCGACCTCCGTCTGTAGACATTCTCACGCTCGAGCCCAGTCAGCTCTCTCATTAAATCTTGCTTCATAGAAGCCTCCTTAAGAGCGGTGAGTACACCGTTGGATTCAGTGCGCTTACCAGGTGTGCATGGGACAGCGAGGCGCCCCGCCATCCTAACAACACTCGGTAATGATGTATAGCAGGGGAGAATATGCCCGTCTCCGTGCCGCAACCATGGTCAGCCCAGTGGTTGCGTACCCGCGGCATTCTCAACACACGTGAAGCCAACAATGACTTAAACTCAGACGGCGGTGCCTGGCCTGCTTCTTGCCAGACGCTCTTCCGAGTAAGCCTTCCCTTTTAGTCCCAAACGGCGGCGACCTTGACGGCTCCGCTCATGAATCGTGTGCATGAAGGAGTCTCCTTTATTTTCCGTGCGCAGGGCTCCCGCGTTCGCCTTCGCGGAACCGATCAGCTTTGTTAGTTGACGAGTCGGGAGCTGGCACCGCGCTCTGCATCAGCCGCATTAATTGCGCTACACACAACACGCCGCTAATGGTTACCTTGACTAACTCCAACTTTGCTATCAAGTTCTACCGCTGAAGGCGAAGGCTTAAGCGTCCTCAAAGCTTTGCAACTGTTGCGTTTGTAACTGTTGTGCAATTGTCACACAATATATTTATTCAGCGGCAGCACCTCCACCATATGTGCCAAATGCTGCCGCATGTAATAAGACTAATGGAATAAAATGATAATTTTGATTTGCTCAAAAATAGGGTAGACAGGAAAATAATGTAGTAGTATGGAAAGTTGGACGAGTTAGTGTGAGGACATTCTTGGAAACATTTTGGCGTGCACACTGTGGACGAGAAGACAAACAGGCAGGAAATTCCCTAGGAATCGTCCGTGTACTCGTCTACTATTGCAGCGTGGAAGAGGCCTAAGGCTATAAATATGAGCTTGTTAAGCAATTTATACCAGCTTTTACCTTGGCCCCTGTAAAAGTGGAACCACGTTTACAAAGAAAACAAAACAAACGAGTTGCGTGAAGGAGAGTCGTCATTGTGGTCGCCACAGTTGGAGCCCGGTGCAAAGCAAGTCAGCGTACATTACTGTAGATAAATCTACTCCTTCTTGCTGCGCTTCATACATGACAAATGCGCTTTCGTACAAAAAACTATGCAGTACCAATAACAGTCCTAGAAGTGAAGAATGAACATAGCGCACCTTCTGCAGTAACCGTCGGCATGGCAGCCGCCGCAAATCACAGCGTGTGCCAACCACTGGAGCAAAATCAGACAACAGTGCCACCAGTTCTCGTGATCGCCACATGACCCGCCCTTCCGGCTCAGCTTTCAAACTAAGTAACGTTAGGTATGCCTAAGCTTTCTTTTGTGTGTGTGTGTGTGCATAAGCATACATACGGAACTGTAGCCTCAGTAACAATAATAAACAGAGAAAAGTGAGACGACCATGTGATGGCCACTCCAAAACAATTTTGCATTCAACACCAGCCGAGGAGCAGAGCAAAAAATTATTCATCTGTTCTCCTGCGTCAGAGTAGCAGACCAGAAAAACTTGCTTGTGTGCCCAGAGACGCTAACATGAAGTGGTGCCTTGGGTGAACCTCACCCCTGCGTCTGTCAGGTCACCTAAAACCCACAGCCCGCTTAGGAGAACTGTGTGCGACATTCTTAAATAACACTTACATTATGTACTCGCTTATCACAACTACGTTAATGCCTTTTCAGGGTAGCTTAAGACACCTAGACAGATCTGATCTCAGGCATTTTTCGTGAGGCATTCCATGAAGTCATCCCATGTTGGAGCACTACTGCAGGAGAAAAACTCCATATTTAAGAATCATTGTCCACATTTTTGCAATTTTTGAAAATAGCACAGATAAATACAAGGCTTGTGGGAATATTCCGATGAATAGTAGAGTATTCGAATTCGCTTCGATGTTGAATTATTGCAAATTTCAAAGTACTTGCAATGAACGAATAGATGCATATTAGTCCACATGTAACCCCTGTAAAGATGGTTTCACTTCAGGGCAGCAGTGCCAAGCCATGAAAACACCTATCTAAGGGAAATCCGTTCTGCCGCGAAGCCCTACTTCAAATTTAAACGGGCCGTGCAACACCTTTTGAGCGTGGTAAGAAAACGCTGCCGATTGGCAATCGACGCCACCGAGAACATGCGAGCCTAATATTACAGCACAGCGCACGGCCTGCAATCCACAATAAATTCTCAGTTGGCTAAAACTTGCTTTTTCTTCTCTCGACAAATGACACAAGCTTGAAAATCGCGTGTCACAGCCATTATATCAGCTAAAGACTGGCTTGAGCATGGCCCTCTTGGTCGTTACAGGAGCCGCCACGGGAAGCCACGCCTTGTCCACCCGTGCGCGCGAGATCCCACTGAAAATCTGAGTATTCGAAGAAAAAGAAGTGCTCAGGGTCACGAGGCACGCGTGACGCATTTTCTTTCCTCGTGCCATCACTCTCTGCTTAGCTTCCAGCGCTTTCGTCGGGACTAGAGAAGAGAAAATGCAATTGTAGCGTGCAACAGATCTTTGTAACTTCATTTGAACGGACAGATTCTATAAAAATTTTTACGCGGTAAATTCGCGAGGCAATAAGCTTATTTAGTGAATCCATTTCATGGCTACTTGAAAAAGTGTTGCAGGGCCTCTTAAAGCGAACATATTACCCTGAAATCGATTCATAACTTTCTAAAGCTTAATAGCTGGTTATGCCAAGCTTATATGCTCTAAGTAGAATGAATTATGAATGAATGTATGTTACATATTTAACAGGTTATCACTTGCATCCAACGAAATTCAAATCCTGCTAATACGCAAACTTGTTTAAACTTCCTTTGAACGAAAAAAAAAGTCATTTTCACGGAGGCTTTATTTAGCTTTTTTTTTAAATATTGATCAGGTTATTTAGGTCATTACAAAAATGTCCCATTTCTTTATGTGTCATAAATACTGTTCAAATTCGATTCAAAATTATACAACCAAAATCATTATAAGTTTAGAATGGAAAATTCACTATTTGCGCAAGCCTAAAAAATACCTTTAAGAAATTATGCATATATTAAATATGGTAAATGCGCTATTTTATATGGCACCTTAAGATGACATTTTGTTCAACGCTTTTCATTTCCCCAGCCATGTGACTGTGTTTTGCTGAATGATGTGGCACCATATTTTCTCGCACGTGACGAGCGCCCTCAAAGACAAATTACTGCTGCAAAGTCAATTACTGCTGCTTCCTGGCATAGCTGTGAAGCACTGCCTTGAAGCCACATTTGCAGGCCAAAATTTACATCTGTTCACTTTAGCTCAAAATTTTAAGAAACCTTTCTGGGCAGTTTTGCAGCTTATAAGCGAGAAAATATGGTATCCACTTTGCCTTTCCTTCACAAGAACCTGCAGTTGTGAGCAGGCAAAAGAAATGACTGACAAGCAAGTTTTGGACCCCTTGCTTTTATTGGCACCTTGGGCCTGGTTGTGTGCGGACCCAGATTTCTACATACACATATAATACACAAATGTCTAGCACAGCCAATTAGCTCAGCTCATTGTACCGTGCGGCCATGGCCTTCTTCACAGATTCCTTGTAAGTGTTTCCGGCCGTCGCTCCGTACGTGGCCCCTCTGACACCCAGTCCTGCACTGGCCACTCTTCGCTGGACCTGCAAGGCAGAATACTCAGTGGGTGAAGCAAGTGCTGCTCAGCATAGAATTGCATGGAAATGGCTTTCCATTTTGCTCCAAAATTGCCGTCACCTGCCTCCAAGACCGCCTCACATATCACATCTAACACCTGCCAACCTGGCGACCTCGAAATTTGCGAGATTCGTAGTCATGAAGGGAGGAGGTGGGAGCTGACACAGTTGCGATGCGAGATAAAAAAATTTGGTGTAAATGTCAATGTACAGTTTCTCAGGGCCACAGTGACAACGAGGAATACACATCAATTTGTGGTGCACTGTTGTGTACACCACAAAGTGCACTAGTGTACTGTGGCCACAGTGACAACCTGGTGCATCAATTTACTGTTTGACAAGGCTGCCATGATGTGTGTAATTCAGACCAACACCAAATCTGTGTCCCCCACACAAAGGCTATTAACCCCTTGCCCCTCTCAATTAGTTTTTTTGCATGCACCAGTCTACTACAGTGAAAGTGACATAAGTGTCCTCAAGCAACAGGAAAATTTTGAAAGTTGTGTGCCTAGTTATTCAAGTCTGGCGATAGCATTGCTTTTTAGGAGATTTATGGCCGTTGCCATACATCGCCATACAGTCAAAGATTATACTCAAAATGGGAGTCTCCCGTTTGCATTAGGAGACTTTGCAGGTACAGTACCAGTTCCACCCATGTGCGCATGCTGAAATGTTTTGAGAATCTCTGTTCATTGAGAACTCGTGGAGTGAATAAAGTTATTTTCTGGCATATTCTATGTTGGACTTTCGATTACTGTGACGTCTTACTGGTCGTGGCCAGGCCTAAATTGTTGGCCGCACTTCTTTTTAAATTTTTAATGTTTTCTATTCATTCCTGAAGAAATTTCTGTTACGACTAATTAGGCATCAAGACTATTGCCAAGGTTGCTAGGAGAAACCAAAGGCAAGATCTGTTCTTCTGGCCAGATTTTACAGTAACACTTTCCACCTAGTGTAACTCAACACCAACAGCACAGGACTACGCAAAACGAGTGGTCACTGCCAAGAATTGTTAGTCCTCGTTTGCATGGCCCCACACTTCAGGCCTGTTGTCCACTGATCAAAAAATGCCAACCACTACCCGATGTCGTGTTATGCTGCGTTTTTGAAGACATACCAGGAAAGAGGCTGAGAGCGAAGTACAGCCAGCCGGAACCTCTCACTGGCTGCCAACAAGCTGGCTAATGCAGCCAGACCAATGCCAGCCATGCAGTGACAGTCTGTTATAATGAGTTTGCATTAGGAAGCACTCTTGCAAAAAGCGCATCGTCTCTGTGAAGTCAATATACTCTGGCTTATGCTGGCTAACTACTGGCTGTCAAAGGAATCATGCTGGTGCACATGTCTCACATTTACGACTTGATTGGCACTCAACTTGTCCTTTCGGGTGTGCAGTGGCTGATACATTTGTGAGGTCATTCATAAAGTACGGCCTTGCAAGTATCAAATACTAATCAAATGAATAAGGAATCAAAACAAGAATAAAACCAATAGTAGTGGTACCAACAGTTCCCAGACAGATTAATGGCTTCTGCATGTGATATAGTTTTTATAGGGTGCATTGGCTAGCTTTGTGTTCCTGCCTGTTGCCTTCATTTTTTTTTTGTCACTAATTTCTTTTTACTTAAGTTGGCAACTTTTATGGCCTTGAGCAGAGAACTTGCTCAACAAATAACATCAAGCACATAAGGAGCCTACAACGCACTAAATAGAAAACTACAAAGTGCTATTTTGCTTCCTCTGCTCTGTGCAGTAGGAGTATGCAACAACCTCAATTATCATAGTACCTTTTCTCCATTGCCTAAAGATTCATGGAATAACCATTCCATTGACCTGCTGATGGTGGCTAAACACGTTAAGCTTATCTGAAGAACTCAGCATAGCTGAAAATGTTCGGCAGCCAGATGTGCCCGAGCTCAAACAAAAACAAAGAGTGACATTTTTCTCGCAGAAGTCTGATTACACACCTGCTAATCTTCAGCGAGATAAATGCACATTATCAGGCAGCAAGGAGGAGGTTTTGCTGTGTCAGTTATGTCCCAATTAAAAGCACCATCACAGCTGACAAAAGCAACGCGGCGGCCCGAACGGCTTGGGAGAGAACATACCTCAACAATGTTAGTGGTGCCAGCGTTGGTCTTTCCAAGCCCCTGTCCCTCCGACCAGCCCATAGCCTTAAGCATTTTGTTGCCGATGTTGTCCTCACCAATGCCTTGCTTGGTGGGCTCCTCGTAGCTCCTGATGGGAACAGCCACACGGGAGATCATTTGTGAGCAATGAAACCGATGAATGCAATTGTTATTAAACCGCGTGCATCTACACCTCGATACTTTGGCAAGCAAATCGTTGAACGAGGTTTCAGGAAAATCATCTGCATTTAAAACCTTGAAATGCTGGCGACATCCACAATTTCAACTTTCTTTTCAACCTCCAAAATACAGTCTAACCTACCTACTACATCCAATGCGGGTAAATCAAATTATCCTTTAGATCAATTAACTTTAAAAACATCGTCATCATCAGCCTGACTACGTCCACTGCAGGTCAAAGGCCTCTCCCTCCCACGATCCACCAATCAACCCGGTCTTGTGCTTCCTGCTGCTATGTTATACCCGCAAACTTCCTAATCTTATCTGCCCACTTAACTTTCTGTCTCCCCTTCGTGTGTTTGCCTTCCCTGAGAATCCAGTCAGTTACCCTTGATGACCAGCAATATTCCTGCCTATGTGCTACATGCGCGGACCGTTTTCCATTTCATCTTCTTGATTTCAACTATAATATTTTTAATGACGGTTTGTTCCTTGACAAACTCTGCTCTCTTCATGTCTCTTAAGGTTACACCTATCATTTTCCTTTCCATCGCTTGCTGCGTCGTCCTCAATTTAAGCTGAAGCCTCCAACGTTTCTGCTCCGTAGGTAACTATTAACAAGATGCAGCTGTTATATACCTTGCTCTTGAGGGTTAGTGGCAGATTATCTTTCATGATACGAGAATGCTTGCCGAACGGGATCCAGGCCATCCTTGTTCTATTAGTTAGTTTTAAATAACTAGATGATTTTAAACAAGACTACATCAATAACAATATGTGGTGTTTTATGCCCCAAAACCACCCTATGATCACTAGTGACGCCGTAGCAGAGGGCTCCGAACATTTTGACCATTTGGTGTTCTGTAACGTGCACCGACATCCCACAGTACACTGTCTTCCACCATTTTGCCTCCATCGAAATTTGATGGCATTGGCCGGGATTCGATCCCACGACCTTCAGGTCAGCAGCCGAGTACCCTAGACAGTGATGGGCAGAGGCGGACGCCATCAAACCTACAACCGTGGGCCATACAAGAAAACCATTAAATGTATGGGGACTATTGGTACCACCACCATTGATCTGACACCTGTTTCGATGTCTTCGTTGTTTAGTTCACTCCTTGCAGGACATCACTTCCGTACAGCATCACACATGGCACAACCACAACCGAAAATAATTTTAGTGCCGCTCTCACAGCAACTGTGAGATATATGCATAAGTATTATTACTTTTAATTAGCTCTGACTACTCTAAAGATCGACAAATAGCCAACGCAACTCGGAGCAAATACATTTGACTTCACACAGACAGTCCACTTTTTGCAACTAAGTGCCTCCAAATGCAAACTCATCCAAACAGACACTCACTGAATAGCTGGTGCTGCCCTGGCCGTCTTGTCCCGCAAGGTGCCAGCAGCGGGAGGTTCGGGCTGGCCGTACTTTAACCGCCGTTCTCGGGCCCTGTCTCGGTATGCCTGCAGCAACATGGCACTTCAACGCTCCTGTGCACCTAGCACTCTTCAGCACTTTGCCACTGTTAATCAACAGACAATAGGCTGGAAGAATGGGACCATGCAAAATGGGACAAATCGCGATTCTAGGCAGCGAGCGTTCACGCCTTGTAGTCGCATGCTATGGCCTAGCAACTGCCTGGCCTAGTTGCTGTTCAGTCACATTATAAGAAAAGTACAAACATAAAAGAGAGTCATGTGGACAAAAGCTTGTTGCATTATCTGTGCAATGTTGATGACACCCTTGCTGCCTGATTAGCCAAACTTAACAGCAAGAAACCTCTTCTTAGGATAAAGAAAACATCAATATCGGAGTGCTGCGAGTGACGAAATGTGAACAATAACTGAAAGTAGGTAATACAGAAATTTGCCAGAAAATAAATGGCCAGCAAAGCTTCTCACAGCTTTTTCGACAGTGCAAATGTTTCCTGATGTGTTTGTGCTTTGACTCTTGTGATGCTGTAGGTGTAGATAAACTGAAGTATACAACCAATGTGTGCAACAGTTTGATGTGCGGTTCCGAGCACAATTTGGTTGCCAGCCACCCATTTTTAGCCCAAAGTTACAAAAAAAGATTCATACATTTTATCGAGGGGGAAGAAAGCTTCACAACTCATGAAAAACTTATCATCATAGTTCATAGATGATCACAAAGTGTTGTTTAAAAATCTGCATGAATTTTCTAGCAGCTTAATGCTCCAGAACGTGTGGATTGACAATTTGGCCCCTTCCACAAAACGTCTTTCAAATCGCAGCTTTTCAAAACGCAAATTCACCGCTCTGCCACAGTCTCCATTAAAACAGATACAGTAGACTCGCGATATATCAAACTCTGAGAATTCATACTTACGGCTAATTGAAACAAAATTTAATTTTTTTGGTTAGCCCTCTATTCTTTCAATGTATTTAAAAGTCTCTTCATTCATACTTTTTGCAGTTCCGTACCAGAAAATATCTACTGCTTTCCCACTACTGTTTAAAGCTTTGCGTGCTTATGTAACATAACAGTCTAAAAATGAACAATAAGCACCTCAGGCCTTCAAGGAAAAAGGCTTTTCTAGTAAACAAATGTTTGAAACGAAGCACACACATGGTAATCTGTGATGCTTCTCAACTGGTGTAGAGAGCTTTGTGCTCAAGGCACCTACCTACCTATAGCAGTGAAGCAGTTGGCAATCTGATCGTTTAAAAAGGTCTGATCAGCAGTAAACGGTTAATAAACTTGTGGACCTTACACCTCTGCTTTCTGTTCATTGCATGCAGCTAGGGTTTAAAAACACCAAAAAATATCTTTAAAAGTGATAAAATTATTGCCTAATCCTATGTATGATGTGACCTCACCCAGAGTCCTTTATCTGAAAACTTCTGATAATTCAAACTTCTTGACAATTCAAACAAAATTCGGAGGTCTCTCCTAGCTTGAATTAACGCAACATCACTCAAAGGCATTACAGTCGATCCTGGATGTATCAAACTCAGATATATCAAATTATTGGCTATATCGAACAGTTGAAAAATCCCCCCCGTGCAAAAGTATGAAACCAGTGCACCCATATGCAGTCGAGCCCACACATAACGGCCCCACTTAAAACGAACTTTTGTTTAAATCGAACAATATCCGCATGACCGTGAAAATATACATTGGTTCAATGGCACAAAATCGCACTTACAACGAACGTCTCGGAGCCCCGTTGATCGGTTACAGCGAACGGAGTCAGCGGTCTGCCGACTTCCCGGGAAACCAATTTCGACCACCGATCAGGCATCGGCGAGGTGCACATACATTCTTATTGTTAAACGCCGACCTGCTTCCGCGCCCCTCTAGTTACCGCACTACCCGACCGCTTTTTGTTACGCACCCCTCCGTCGTTTGTTCCCCTGCTACCTGCTACTCTGAGCACCCCGCATCAACAGACGAGGCCCGTGTTTTCACACTGCCGCCGATCTTTCGAAGACCGATCGGCCATCTACCCTGTTTTGATAGGTGGTACTGTCGTTGGCGTCGCCTGCCTGAAGTGACCAGACCATTTGCCAACATCGTCGGCCACCAAATGTATCCAATAGTCTGCGTCTAGTGCACGCGCGCACGCTACCCCACCGGCTCTAATTTGCGGTTCGTGTCGTGTTTAGGACTTGTTCTCACTCACTTCGCACTCGACTCAGCATGCCTCCCGCGCGCGTGCGGGAGCGCAAAGACGCCTGTTAATTTGCGTAGAACGAATCACGAAATATCGAAGTTCTTGATGCCACGCAAACCCACAGGCGCAACGAAACGATTTTTCGACCACGGCCGCCGATTCTTCGAACACTGCCGCGCGCACCGATTCAGGCGGTCATGAACTCTTTCCAAGTTTTTCTATGTGCAAGTTTCCCGGACCTTTCAAGCAAGCTACCCAACCTGCCTCCTTCCCGTGTGTTTTGGTTTTCAAGGTCGCCCTTCCGCCGCATCCTCCCCTCTCTTTATCGCAACTCCTTGCCCTTCTCTCGCAAGTCTGCTCACCTCTCTTGATCACAACTCCTTCGCCCGTCTCCACCGCTCCGCGACGCCCACCACGCTGGCTCGAATGAGTATCGTTTTATGACTGGAAACGGGCCCAGAGCTGTTCCTCGCGCTCTGGCATGTGTGTCGCGTGTGCGCATTTTGCTCGCTCTTGGTGTGCGTGTGTGATCATGATGGCCGACGGCAGGACTAGCACGCTTTTTCGTGCCGCTCAAGAAAACGTCGAAAGTGTGACCACTTGGCTAAGCATAATCAGCGCGTTAGGTGCCGCGTTGCGGAGCGCTTGCTCATAGCTGTTGGCCACCTGGCAACCAACTTGGCGCTTTGGGCGTCCCGGTATTCAGCTGTTGAGATGGTGAATATATCGTGGGCGGCGGTGACGGCTACATGCGCGCGAAACTGTTCTAGCGAGGCCGACTTCGTCAACGTCGGGCCCGATGCCGAGCCCGAACAGGATGACTGCGGCGGCGATTTGTGGCAGCGCGTCGTCAACTCCGACCTGGGAGAGCGGGTGGTACATCTGTTGCAATGGTTTAATTACGGCCGACGATGATGCCGACACTGCGGAATCGTGCACGGATTAGGACATAGTGAATGAAGTATGTGGCGAGAGCGATCTGGAGGCATCGGATTGCGATAACGACGAAACTTCGGAGCCAGTGCCTCATGCAGCTTATGCCACGGGCCTCGGCGAGCGGGCACCCTGCTGTTTTAAGGGGGGGCGCGGCAAGTAAAGTGCCGATTTTGGTCAAAATATGCGATTTTCTGATTTATTTTTTTTTCGTAATCTTCAGACTTTCAACTTCCTTGTTCTAAAATATTACAGCGAAACGTGCGCTACAAATCCCGCAAATCGTGTTTTTTGCCGAGGCTAGTCGCCGAAAAGTGCGAAAAAAAAGCCCCTGAAACGGTGTTGTTCACGCCGCACAAACGCGCCAAGTTGTTGACCGGGGGCCGCCATTTTGGTAGCTTTGGAAAGAGGAGAAAGCCGGCTTCCCGATGGTCGCAGTCTCGTATTTCGCCGAGTGAAAATAAAAGCGCGAGGAGCAAGTAAAATAAACGAGAACGAAGAACGGCAATTGGCTGCGCGGGTCACGTGGTAGCAGGCGCGACCTCTTACTGGTCAAAGCTGCGCCGCGCACCTTGGCAACCTTGGAAGCGCGAGCGCATCTGCGGCCGCCGTGTCGAGAATCATCCGGCGTGCGCTTCGTTTTTTGCCAGTTGGCTGTTTTTGTGATAGTTCGCGTGCTTTTTTTACCAAGCTTTGTTTACATCGGTGGTCTCTTCTGAGTGCTTGCTCATACTGCGGTGCTATGTTGCCGCAAAAAAAGTTCCGGAGCGTCCACAAGTACGGCAAGCGTCGGAAAGCTTGGAACAAAGGGCAGACGACTGCGGCTGCCGTCCCAGTCGCAGTTCCGGACGGAGCATGCTCTTCAAGCGTCACGGAGCCTCTACTCAGACCCTTCGCTGATTGTTGTGAGGCCGAGAGTGTGGAAGGTGCCACATCGTCGTATGTCAGACCGCCGGATGCCGTCGACCGTGATGGACGCTCTCGCGAACCCGATTGCGGTGGCACCGCGTCGGCAGCCGTTGCAACTCCGGGCGTGCGCGCGTCGAACATTCTATCGCGAGTTTCGGCCCAGATTCCGAGCAGTGAAGAAATCGCGCAGCGGGCGCAGACAAGGCGGGATGTTTTGGATGCCGTAGCATCGAAGTCCGCTTCAAAGCGGAAGCTCGAGCTTCTGAACGAAGGCTGCGACGAAAATGACGGCGGTAAGGACTCCACATTTTTCATTGTAAATAAGAAGATGCTGAACGGTCTGCTTTCGTCAGTAAAGTGCAACAAGTGCGACGAAGGGTCGATACGCCTCGAGACTACGCACTGCCTTGGACTCGCGGCGAGGATGGAACTTTTTTGTGACAATTGTGGCATAGTGAACAGTGCGTGGTCGTCCCCGAGGTGCTCCGGGCAACAAAAAAACGAACCCCTTTGAGGTAAACGTGCGTGCTTTGAGGGCTGTGCAGTCAGTTGGCAGAAAACAATCTGCCATAAATGACATTTTTTCTGCGATGGACATTTCGCATCGAGCACTGCACCACAAGTCCTACCAGAGACTGCAAAGGAAGTACAGCCACCCTGCCACCACATCAGCTGCCACCCGCATTGAAGCAGAAAGTGCACAGAAGGTGCATGACATTTACAAGGACCTAGGAGGAGTGCCAGGCAACATTGACGTCATTTACGACGGCACGTGGATGACGAGGGGGCACAGAAGTCATATTGGCGTGGGCTGTGTAATCGAGCTGTACACAGGCTTGGTCTTGGACCACTGTGTCCTGTCCAACTACTGCCAAGGCTGTGCGGTTGGCCCCAAGCCTGGTGACAACTATGAGGAGTGGCTTGAGAAACACAAGCCACAGTGCCAAAAGAACACCGATGCTAATGCAGGCCAAATGGAAGTAGAAGCAGCTAGGATCATGTTTGAAAGATCGTTTATCAAGTACAAGCTTCGATACATCAATGTGCTCTGCGACGGTGACAGCCGTACGTACCTTGCCCTCACGCAAGACAAGGTGTATGGCTACATGGTGATTAAGAAACAGGAGTGTGTGAACCATATGAAAAAAAGAATGGGCACTTCCTTGCGCAACCTTCTTGATGAGCACAAATCCAAAGGCCGAGGACTGAGCATGGGTGGCAAAGGCCGGCTGACGCAGGGCCTGATAAAGAAGTTGATGAATTATTATGGCTGGGCCATTAAGAGCCATCCCAACGATGTTCCTGGCATGGAGAGGGCCATCATGGCCACTTATTACCATGTAACATCCACAGACCAGGATCCACACCACGACCTGTGCCCAAGTGGGACTGACTCCTGGTGCCCGCACAATCAGGCATTGGCCAAGGGAGAGCCGCTGCCGCCTCACAAACATAAACTGCCCCCTCACGTGCGAGTGGCACTGCTGCCAATCTACAAGCGCCTCTCGAACAAAGAGCTCCTTGAAAGGTGTGCGCAGGGAAAAACCCAGAACGCTGTGGAGAGTATGAACAGCCTCATTTGGTCACTCCAGTCCAAGAGCCAGTTCGCCTCCCTTCGAAGTGTGGAAAGTGCAGTTGCAGATGCAGTCTGCCGTTTCAATGGTGGCTGCAAGAGTGCGCTGCAAGAGATCACTGCTCAACTGGGCTTCAATCCAGGAGACTGCTCTTTGCGGCGAGCAGCCGAAAAGGATGCCAAAAGGGTAAAGAGGGCTCAAAAGGCGCATTGTTCCTCGACAAAGAAGCGCAAAACTGGGTTGCGCTCTACAGAGGCCAAGGCCACAGCATCTCAGGATTACTGCCCAGAAGGATTCTGAGTGTTTTAGGCATTTTGTGAACTTCCAAACAAGAGTGAACTTTCAAAGTCAGTTTTCTCAACTCTTGATTTTCGCCTATGTGCCTTCGCTAGAACATCTGTCATTTTCTAACAAAGACTGATAGAGTCGTTCTGTTTTTTGCACTAGACTCAGGAAGCCTTTAGCAGTGCAATAAAGCTTTATCTCTCTTCTTACTCATCATTTAAAATTTTTAGAACACATTTTATAATTACTGCGATGTGTGCGCAAAACAACATCCATGTTTTGGAAATTTTATTTATGGTTACAAGAACTAGAAAAATCAACTAATAGCTTCTTTGCACAAGTTGATGCTTTGGGAACATAATAATATGAAAAAATAATTTAATTTAGCAATAATTATCTCTTTAAGTGTGAAGAGCATTAATTAGTATAATTATGCTTGTAACTCAAAAAGTACAAGAGGTATTTGAAAACGGTTTTCATATTTGGAATCCTCACAATCATCCACATACACACACCAAATTTCATCACAAACAGTACATTAATAAAAAAATTAGTTTTACTTGCCACGTCCCCCCTTAAATGAACTTGAGACCGCCCTTATCGATTCTGTTCTTCGAAACACGTGCATCACGGACTTTTTGGGGCAAAAAAGTTTGTGTTTTCACTCACAACATTTTTAAAAGCTGTGTTTCACTTACTACGAACTTCGAGATACAGCGAACGGATGTTGCGTCACGCTCAGGTTTGTTGTAAGCGGGCTCGACTGTATCGAACTCCTGCACAGCGGGACATCCGCTATATCGAACGCTGCATCGCGCCGAAGCCCAGAAAATGCATTTTTCCTAGCAAATATTGATCAATTTTAGACCGTGTTCTAACAAGTTCCGATCCTTTTTCCCGCGCAGGTGATGAAAAAATGCGTGTTATTTCATCGCGCTGATCTGGTTCGTTGAGTGGCACTTGCTACATCTGTACGTTTGATTCGCGATGTGCAAGTCTTAGCGGGCGGACATAATGTTTTCCAAAAGACCGACTGCCGAGGGCACCGAAGTGAGAACGGGAAGTGACTCGGCGATGTCAGTGCAATGTTCGCATGTGGTTCGCATTCCCTTCCTTTTTGTTAGCACACAATGGTATGCAAGCCTGAAAAGCATGGCCTTCGAGATGTGCTACCTTGTCACATATATTTAGTGTTTTCGGTTTCAAAACAAGTCTCGAAGGCTACACTTTTTTGATCTTTTCGCAATAAAGCCGCTAAAAGCAGCGGCTGCCAGCTACAAAGCCATAGTGACAACGATATTGCCATCATGTCCATGGTGAGAACTCGGACGAATTCGGCGTTGTGTCTTTTGCGCCTTGTGGTTTTTGTGCACTTCTTACCTCGTTCCTGATAAATCCTCATTCGAGAGTTTAACTGAACGTTGACCCGCACGTAGCAATAAAAATATGACTGGCGCTTGGAGCGACGTCAAGTAAAACACTGTGTTGTAAACGTTCCTTGCGGGCCAGGTGATGACTTCAGATGCGTCATGACCGCTAACAACGACGTACGGTGTCTCAGTGAAATCTGTGACTTTTCAGCATTTCCGGGCACCATCTCGGGCAGCAGCGACTTCATCGGTACAGGTGACACTGTTGCTGTTTCTGACTGCATTGATGCTGAGATTTTCGCTGCCATTGCCGGTGCCGCTGAAGTGTAGCCGTGCGGTTATGAATGTACCAACGCCTTCGCTGCCGCCGCCAACCCAGCTTTTGCCACGCTACACAGCTTGCATCGGCATTCTTCGTCAACCGACATTGTGGCCGAAGAAGCTAAGTTCGCTTGTTTGAAAAGCTTCAATGATATTAAGGATGACTGAAACTTAACAGCGCTCAAGAAGCAAGACAAATTTATGGGCTAAAGTGCGGTAACTTGCAGTTCGCACCTTGTTTTTGAGCGAATCGTTATCTTAGCTCTTGTAACGATTTCAGAGGCCTGAAGTTCAATTTAGGCCTTAAATATGCATATTATTTTGTATTTCGCATTCTCGATATATCAAACTATTTAGCGATCCCCTTCGAGTTCGATATATCCAGGATCGACTGTATATGGTTTCAAATACCCCAGCCGTCGCACATTTCGCAAAACTGCATGTGCTGGCAATGGTTCCGGCTTTGAGCCGAGCTCCTGCGATGGCTGCAGAATGCAGCGCCATAGCCATTGGATAAAAATGAAGATGATGCGGCGTCTCTGGCCTAGTGCACCTTGCGCCCGCTCTGGCACCAGAGCTTGTTCCCGAAGAAGAGCTTCCACACGCATTGGTACAGGCAACAGTGACTAATCAGCTCGTGAATAGAGCATTTTGTAGTTTTCTCAGTTATGGCCGTAATAAGCATTTCACAAACATGCTCACTTAGCAGCTATGAATTACAACTCACGAAATCATTTACAGATTATTCAAATCTACGGGAACAAACTTATCATGCTAGAAATGCAATCTCATTCTTTATCAACTGAGCAAAAACTTCAACAGTGTATCCACAATTCTCTCAACGCTTTTCAATTATTTCTCGACCAGGAAACACTAAAACCAACTACAGCGCAGATTGTCGTCCCGGCGACAGTCTTTCTAACAGTGCAGCAACGACGTCATCACTCCAGTCTTCAAGATGGACTGACCGCACTACACAACTCCCTCAAAGCACTCGAAACACATACCTTCTTCGCAGAGTCCTACCTTCAGTCACCTGTCGTTTGCATCTTTCTTGGTTTCGCGAACATTCTAAGTTGTTCAGCGCATAGCACGCACCACAGCGACAACTAGAGAAAAGAGATTTGTCTCCCCAGTTTATCTGTGAAAACTGTCGGCCCCAAAAAAGGCCCCCCTGATGTTTCGAATTTGCCTGATGCTGCGTGGGCGTTAACCTGCCATGACCATTTGAAAAAAAAAAAAAAAAAAGAACATCTGCCACACACGTGCACCGGAGAACCATACTCATGCACAAAAAACACGAGGCAAGCCACCCTCACAAATGATCACAGGGAGTGGGGCGAGCAAGAGAAAGCACAGAACAAGCACATAGACATGTATAAATCTTGAGGCGACCACGTTGTAACACGAAGTGTTGTCATCTTTGATGACTGTGTAGTAATAACACCCAAAAAAAAAAAAAAACAGCTGCAACTGTCAACTCAGTCAAGAATCATTCACCCATTGACGACGCGACGCAAAAAGGTAGACCATCTTTTTTTATCCAGCGGCCATGGGCGCCATCTTTACCTTTCCTAGATAAGCACAACTAATCTCTCAATGGCTACTCAGAGTAACGGAAACTGATGTCAATAACTGTGCTCCTGCATAAGGCCCTCAACACACATTGTGACTTCTGAGAATTTTAACACGACTGCTTGAGCAATAAAATACAGCATTTGTATTATGAGACGATCACATGCAGCATCTGATGAGCTTTGTGATACATAGAATTTGGCACCTCTCCATTTAGGAGACTACTCGTCTGCATATTACCAAGTAGTCCATTGTGCACATCAAAAGCAGTCACATTGATATGTTTAAAAGTGATTATCTCAGAATACAGCTCCATTAAAAAGCAAAGAACTGCAGAAGACATACCTGACCCTCTGCACCACCAGAACCTTTCGACAATCGCAGGGCTTCCAGGTTTTGCTGCAATCAGAAAAACAGCAGCACATCAGCAGAGGTCACACAAGACAAGAAGCCCGTCCCAACCTTGTCATCAGCCAATGCAGTAGAATATCGACGATACAAACTTTAAGGTTGTTTTGGATGAGCTGCATTATATAAAATATGCCGTGATTCGGCGTTTATATGAACGGTTTCCCCAGCCATCGTGGATACAGTGCAGTCCACTTATAACGATATCGAGAAAACCTAAAAATATGATCGTTATAACCGGTGATCGTTATATCTGGACTGCCGCCAAAAAATCGTCGCCGGACGTACCTTTTGTAGCTCCAGGCTTCATTTCGCTATTTTCACCAATTAATAAATATTGTAGATAGTAGGATGTCAAAAACAAGACTTTATTTCTTACTCCGAAGAACGCATCACGGGTTCGCTGAGGAAGAAAGACTGACCGACGGCGGGGTGGGAGCAGTGAAAGGAAGAAAGCACAGCCAGAGGTACACAGCCGGAATGCCAACGAGGCCCCGCCCCGATGCCGCCGCGCCGCTTTGCTTTTCGCTTTTTTATTTTCTCTCTCTTTCCCGCTTTCGTTCGGCAAGCTACGAGTAGCTTGCCGGCTTGCCGTTGTAGAAGGCGGGGAGCCGCGGAGCGCGGCGCTTTGCTTTTCGCATTTTTTTTTAATTCTCTCAGCCTCTCCGCGGTCGACGCGCGGCCAGGCGCAAAACGTGACACAGCTGGCGCCATCTGTAGCGCGTCGCGCCAACTCGCGATGCTCTCCTCGGCTTTTTGAACGGCCGGGACGCGCTGCCGGCGCTGTGCTGCAGTGGCGGCAGATACGTACTCGCCTACGCTAACTTTTCGTCTTGTCTCGGCATAGTTCGTTTCAGAGGAACTTATCAATCTAAATGTTACGATTATTCTGAATAAAACATGCCGTCCACGGCAACTTTTCATCGTTGTATCCGATATGCGGTGGATAACATATCGCGTTTTTGCTCCACGACTTTGGCTAGACCTGCTGCTCTAGCTCTCAAACCACGGGATTTAAACAACCACCCACTAATTCAACATGGCGGCCAAGGCGTCGGCGGGTGCGATGGATCGCATTGACGCTATCGCGAACTACCCGTGCAGCCTGTCAAAACTCGCGGCCTTGACAAGGACGTGTTGATCGAGAGCCTGGTTTGGATTATGATGGCTGCAAACACTATAAATAGGAGAAGGTGCAGCAGCAGAAAGTCCTCCCTCCTTAGCGTGTCTCACTTTTGCGCTGCCGGCTGAATTCATCGCCGCCGCTTTGTCCACTCGTGTTGTTTCTGCTGGCGTATCTTCCAAAACAACGTTTGTAAAGGTGTAAACCGTTTTTTTTTAAGTGCTTTGCATGCATGAATAGAGCTCAGTATGAACTTCAATGCTCAGGAAACGGGGAAGATTGAATGAATTCTCAAGCAATGATTGCGGCGGTGGCAGTGGCGTGTACCATGGGCAGAATGAATGTGAATGTTTTCGACGGGCACGGACATGGTTTTCTGGCTGCACTGGCATTTTCACTTGATTTCTCCAGGACAGACTTTTATCGTTTCGACTCTGCGGCGTGGCTATTCGGCCACTTAAGGGGACAGACTGGTCTTTGGGACCAAACGTGACAAATTCATTTTTTAGAATTGACATATTTGGTTTCTGCAAGTATTTTTCTATCTCTGTGCAAATGTTCACACACCAAGAAGAGGGCAATTTTTCTGTAATGTCATTCTAACTGTCCAGATTCTTGGTGCTGTTAATATGCAGAAGTTGCGAAAAAAAAAAATGGGGAGCCGACTTCGAGGCTTCTTTGTAATTGGCCCCCACCTGTGTTAGAAGCTCTGCTACGAATTTATGAGCACCTTTATGAGTATTGCAAGACCTGCACACCATGATTGTCGGTTTTTGAAGAAGCTGTGTGTTTTCAGTTTTTTATATTTTTCCCCCAAAAAGTAAATTTACGACTGTTCAATTTTGAGGCCTCAATTTCTCGGCAGCTAGGGCAGGTACAACAATAATTCTTTTTGCAATAGAAATCTGTATGTGTGCAGAATGCAAGTATGGGAGCAGAATTCAGAGCACAAGCCTTTTTAATTATTACTCATCAAAATTGTAATAGAATTCCAACTGTTTTCGGAAATAGTTAGTTCATTTTGCTGTAAAATACCCAGGAAGGCCTAAAAACAACAAAAAACTCTTGCATACTTTCACTCTATAGTCATTAGTCTATGTTGGCATATCTTAAATATCAGTTTTAATTCAGCACTTTTTTTTTCTATGGCAGCCTTAAAAATTTAGGGGGTGAACTTAAGTTATCTCAGGAACAAGATGAGTTACAGGAAAACTAAATAAATATTTGAAATCTGCAGAAAAAACTGCATAACCCTGTGCAGTTTAATCAAGATCACTGAATAAATAAACAAAAAATGTCCCAAGACCACTCTGCCCTCTTAAGCAGCGAAGTGAGTCAACTTCATATGAGTTTGGTCGCTTTCGCTCCTTTTGATATCAAGTATAAAAGCACCGCGCCAGCATCATGAGCGAGGAAACTGTGGCACTTTATTGAGAGATGGTGAAGGCAGGAAAGTTAAAAAAAAAACATGATGGACTTTTTTCAGCAAGAAGTGGTTGCCAATAAAGTTCTTGACTATTCTTCAATATCAGCTTTAACTTGCTTTTCGTTCATACGAATTCAGGATGATAAAAATATTTTGCGTCTTGCCTTCGAATTCACATCAGCAAGATTCATCAGCGCATGGAGACAGGCCACAAAAGGAACAAAAGGAGTTCCTTTTGTGCCCTGTCTCCATGCGCTGCTTTACACTTCAACATGACCTCAAAAGAGATCACAGTCCAGAGTCCCATGGAAATGGTCCCCTGGCTGCTTGCATGAGGAGCCCACCAGAGCCTCAATACAACCATGCTTCACAAGCTTTGTATAATGGAAAAATTCATTTTCAAAAGAGCATCCCTGCCACGTAGATGAGCTTGCATTTCTATGTTTAAAACACGTTTTTTTTTTTTCAAGATACATATTCAAAGCAACTTCTTGAGCTTAGACATTATGTTTTCAGTACTTCTGATGGCGAGATTAGGATGAATTTTTCCCATATAGTACTAATTTAAAACTTGATGTTATCTCATTTGAAACCTCACATTAATTATGTCATTATTATGAACTTAAGGTAGGCAATTCTACTGTTAATGTGGAGAAATGGCTCATAACTATTAAAGTTCAATGGCTAAAGATGGACGAATTTTTCCTTTCCCGTGTAGCATCTCTGCTTAAAGAGCACGGTGAGGATACTGCCGGAGGGCACCTCAATCTCTCACCTTGTGGAGTCCCGAGAGCTGGACGTGCTTGGAGAGGACTTCACGGGAGGGGAACTGCCGCTTGCAGAGCAGGCACGCCAGCTTGGTCCAGTCCAGCAGGTGGCTCTCGTCGTTCGACTCAGCCTCGGAGTCCGAATCCGAGCCACCCCCGTACTCGGGCACCAGCGTCTCCCTTGCGCTAGTCACACCGGCTGTGTCACGGAGAGAGCCGAAAGTAATGTTCTACTCCAGTCCGGCACCAATTCTTTGATCAGTGTAATCTAAATTTTTTTTTTTGAAGATTACAACTCCACTAGCACGAAACCTGAAAAAAGTATGTAACATAGGCAACCAAGCCATTTTCTTGGCAATTGCTCACTAGCCAATGTTACAGCAACCATGCACTTCCATGGCAGTAGCACTCTCTTTTGCACAGTGCAAATATCAGCTGAATGTAAATTTTAGAAGTGTTATTCGCAATTTTAGGTGAAGCATCATAATTATTTCTTGTGGTTTATGTTATTTTAGACCTTGTTAGTTGATCTTGCGCTGATTTTGAGAATTGTTAGCTTCGTCTTCAGCCTGCATAGACCGCTGCGTGACCTTGCAACGTGAGATGGTGGCCACACATGACAAAGCCTGGCCCCTGAAATGCTAAGCACTCAGAAAGATGACGCCAGCAATTTATGTAGCGTTTGTTTCAAACAGTGAGGATATAAGAGAAAAATTGTGTCAAGCATCTGAACAATCCTGCCACCTGAGTAACTTACATCATTAAGTACTGCCTTTATTCAAACATGGGGCACACTGTTATTTCTCATATAAAGTAGTTTAGAAAATTGTTTGGGATGAGTACCTCATGATCATATTGACGTAAGACAGACGCGGTATTCAAACTACGCGCGCGAGTTTGTATGCCTTCCAAGAGACGAGCGGCCCCATGATGAAACAAGAAAATACTATGACGGTGCATGTTTCCTCAGCATGGAATATCATGAAAAAGAAGTGGCGCACTGCTCGAGGACTTCTTGGAAGTATTCATTCGTTTTTCCGCTCTCCTACGAGATATGCTGCTACATTTTCCTTTATTTTTTTCAGGCACAAATTAGCCCCAATAAATAGTTATTCTTATACCACCTGGATTGTTCATTATAATATTGCCTAATATTGCATTCTTGGGACATTTAACCCCAAAAAATGTATTATTACTCTTCTGTGTGATTCACATATTTCTGATTGATATGTGGGGTTTAACGTCTCAAAACCACCATATGATTAGGAGAGACGCCGTAGTGGAGGGCTCCGGAAATTTCGACCACCTGGGGTTCTATAACGTGCACCCAAATCTGAGCACACGGGCCTACAACATTTCCGCCTCCATCGGAAATGCAGCCGCCGCAGCCGGGATTCGAACCCGCGCCCTGCGGGTCAGCAGCCGAGTACCTTAGCCACTAGACCACCGTGGCGGGGCGATTCACATATTTCTCTTTTTTGTTGCACAATCATACTGAAGAACAGCCACTTACATATTTTACAGACTTGTTGGATAGTTCCGACTTCATACGTGAACCATCAAGGCTCTCTCATTCATTTCGGCAACCCATATTAGATAAATTTATACCCAAAAGTTTAGTTTTCCAGACTAAATCACTTGTGTTGAGCCATGCTGCTCGAGTTTGAAGGTCACCATGTTGAATTTCACGTTGGCTTGGTCAAGTTTGGCTTGCAGTAACTAGCTGTGTTGCCTCCAAGATTTGAAACATGCACAATTTTCCAGTTTCAGAGGCTGTGTTAGACCTTCCTTGACTGGCAAAACTGTTTTGGGGACGCAACTTTTCTTTTTCAGTCAGTCGTATCTTCATCATGATAAGGCTTTCTCGTTTTGCTTTTTTTGTTTGTTTTTCCAGTTGTCATTCTCCACATGGTCGTATCGGTGATGTGCTAAGTATTTTTGAGCTGTCGTGCGTGTCACATGTTTTCTGCTGCTGCGTTGCCAAGTAGTACCCCGTGGTTACGGTACAAGGGCTACAAACATTTCTAGCCACCATAGTTACAGTGCTCAGCTACCGACCAAAAACATGCGAATTCAATCGCTGCCACAACGGTAGTGTTTCGATGGACACGAAACGCTGGAGGCTCGCGTACTGTGCAATGTCAGTGCAGGCTAAAGAACCCTAGACTGTGTCGTTAAATCCCACCAAACAGACAAGACACTGCGTGCATCTTTTTGTGACTGGCCTCACGTTTTTGTGTGCTCAGTGCCATGGAGCCACGAACTGTGCTGCCCGCAGCGGTCGATGGCACCTATTGCCCATGTGCTACAACCAAACATGCCTGTCCCCATGCACACTATTAAGCAGGGCATAGTCGCGGATTTTATTTAAGCTGCTCTTATCCAAATAAACTTCATTTTCATGTTTTAACCATTTTATGATCTGTTGGATTTTTCTATCTTGAAGTCCTCGCCAAGTTCGGAAAATGAGACAATAACAGCAATGAATTACCAAGTAGCCCAGAATGCTGGTCTCATTAGGTTTACGAATGCTTGCAACACATGGTTCTTGTGAACAGTGGCGCCAAAAAAAAGTCTTGTCTCACCGGCAACCAAGGGGCTATCGGGCACAGAGGGCTGCAGCAGGCTTCCACCGAAGGCGATGCGGTCCACAGTGACGGTCTGGTGCTTCTCGAGAATGGCAAAGCCCGCATCGGCCGCCGCCGATTGCCGCTCGTCAGCCAAGCTTTGTGCGGAGGCCACCAGGCCCTGCTTGGCGTTCTCCTTCTTCTGGTTGAGCGTCTTGGCCCAACGTTCCATGTCCTGCAATCACGGGTCAAGAGATGAAAAATTGGTTAACAGGTGTTATTGGAGCTGACGTTTCGACAGGGGGACTCGTCTCTTTCAAGGTTGAAACTACAAGAAGAGCTCATTATATTTGAACTCGGTCCTATCAAATATGTTTAATATAACCCAACAGCCGGTCCCGGCACAACCCTGTGTATTGCAATGGGGAAAAACTCCCAATAATTCAAACATGTCAGTATCTACAAGGGTCAATCACAGCCCCCAGTTTTTATTTCTGGGGGCTGTAATTCAGCCTAGTGTGATCACAATGCGTGGCAGAACGAAACCGAATTTACTACAGATGCAAAACGATGAAAGAGTAGTATTTCTCAACAGATGAGAATTCGGAAACTGCACTGGAGCTCTTGGGCAATCTGCAAACGATGCTCGTGGAGGTGCAAGTGAAAAAAGTTTACTTAACAATTTCAAATCCCTGACTACCCTTTGAGTTTGATTTTGTTATCACTGCATGGAAGTAAATGTGTTCTGGAGCATAAATAGATTCACATAATCAACAGCCTGATTGCTCACATGAGTGCATGTTAATGCTTGTTTCTGGTGTATCACTCAATCATTCATTTCTGTTCACTGTTGGAACTCCATGGACCTAACTTGCAAAATTACCTGCCACAATGCGTAGTATTACCTATTTCATGATAACAAGTACAAAGGTGGCTTCTCTGGCCTCAGCCTGCACAGTGTAGCGTGATGCCCGTAGATTCTCGTGCCTGCCTGCTAATTCAAAGTTCATTTTACTCATTACATGCACAGCAGGCAATGCCCAAATCAACGCCTCCTTTATTTCATTCAATGCCAGTGCAAATGCACACTCATCAATGGGAGCCAACCGTCCACCCTAGTTCAAAGAATGGTTGTGATGCGACGGCACATGAGGAGCAGGGCTGCCTGCATCACACGTGCTTCCGAGTGCTTTTCCTCGGAGACACGAAAGACGTGGGTCCCTCTCACATACCATACGTCTGTCAGATTTGTTCTTTCGTGCTCCTTTTTTGTGGCTGGAAGCGGTGCCACCACCACCTCACAGCATTACTTATGCAGCGGTGTCACCATGACGCATCTCCATTGGTGGCATGCATAACGCCACAAACGACGGCACGCTATCTCAGAACACCGAATCACTTTCAGAGCCGGTGTGACGGCCAACGTTGCGATAACGAGGAATACAAGACGCTGCGCCACTGATCTGTACAAAACTGAACAAAAAAAAGTACTTTTTATTATTCTCGTCATGAAGCACTGCATGGGGGGCTCTTTTCCCCATGACCGCAATGCACGTACGAAGGCTAGACAATGGGCGAGAGCAGAAAAGGGCTAGAGGAGAGGGTGGTGGACAGCTGGATTGGGCGCATCTGGCTGGCATTGATAAAATAGAGGAGGGGCTGCTAAAATGCTACAACAGATGTCTCACTGCTTCCGTACATGACCAATGTGCATGAAAGATGCGGTCTGTGTCATTGTCTAATGCATAGGCTTGTGAGAATATATGAATGCCTCGAATATTCCAACGGTTATTAGTGTATTTGAAATGAATGAATAAATGTATACAGTTAAACCTGCCTATAATGAACCTCCATATAACAAAGTTTTTATATTCCTCGCTGTTGCTCCATAGAAGCACATGTATTTGCGACGTCTATGTAACAAAATAACAGCGGGAGACAATTTAATATAACGAATTTTCCTCACGGACAATCTAGGAATTTGGTCCGCATTTTGTCATTTTGGTACAAGCATGCACCTTTTGCGGCTGCCCTGCCACCGACGAACGGCGCGCATGAATGAGCGCGATGCGGGCCTGCACGCAACGAGCCGAGCCGGCGTTGCCTCCACCCACACTCTCATTGCCATGGGCGCACGTGTGCCCCGCCCCCACACCTTAAACCGAAATAAAAAAATAGTAAAATTAACCGAATAGTTTTCCGAGGTATCCGTGTCATTCGCTCTTATTTTCGTCGCCGTGCGCGCGTGCATAGTTTCACAGCACGCACATAGTATGGCCCCTGACGACATTCAGCTTTGCTTTTTTTTTTTATTGCGATATAGCAATTATATAAACAGTCTCGGCTAGTTGTTTACCGGCGCCGCAGCTGTCATTCACTGTAAGTATATATATATATATATATATATTGTGAGCGCCGACTACGTACTTCATCTTCATCTGTATGACCAAACCATTGCAGTGATCATCATCGTATGCCACACGGGCTGGCTCGTGTGTCTGGATTAAAAAAATAACCTGGTTGCTGCCGTACCGGACGTGGTCTCATAAGTGGTGGAGCGTGCTTTGGTTCCCACGTCCTCCTGCTCTACCCGTCACCCCTGGAGCTCCGGTCTGGTCAACGGTTGTGCCCTCAAGCAACAGCGATGGCAGAACCCAACGCGCCCGCTGCTGCAACCGCTCCTTCTCAGCCACCTAGGCTTCACTACACCGTGAGTACCTCTCATCGAGACCCTCCGGTATTTTCCGGCCTTCGCAACGAAGACGACAGTTATGATCGAACCAGCGTTTGTAATTATTGGGACGAGGCGCACAAACTGCGCTACGTTCCTTTTTACCTCGATGGCGTCGCTAAAACCTGGTATTACAACCACGAGAGCGACTTCTCCAATTGGTCGGCCTTCACGGGGCATCTCCGTCAGGTATTTGGCACGCCTGCAGGATGTTCTGTAGTAGCAAAACAGAAGCTCGCAACCCGCATCCAGGGGGACGACGAATCGTATACATCCTACATTGAAGATATTCTGGCTCTCTGTCGCCGAGCACAAAATGACATGACGGAGGCCGATCGCATCCGTCATCTACTGAAGGGTATCAACTCTGTGGCCTTCAATGCTCTCGTGATCCAGAATCCGACTACCGTCCGGGACGTCATCACTACATGCCAACGCCTGGACGCGCTTCATTCCATGCGCCTTCCACATGCCTCCTGCGACGCTCGCTTTACCAAAGAGCATGAATTGCGGGCCCTTATCCGCACAATTGTCAGAGAAGAACTTCACGGCCTTATTCCAGGCAACCCAACCATTGAGTCTGTCCGCACACCTCCTCCCAACCTGCGAGAGATAATCAAGGACGAACTGGCATCAATGACAAGCGCTGCACATGCCCCGTCTCCTGTGCGCTTCCCAGTGCCTTCGTACGCAGAAGTTGCATCGCGGGCCCCTGCACCAGTTCCAACCGTGCCTGCGGACATCGGATGCGACCATGTGGCTGCGATGACAACGCAAGTGCCAAACCCACGCGACTATTCTACATGGCGTCCTCCGCGCCCCATCTGCTTCTACTGTGGCATAAGGGGTCATATATCCCGTTTCTGCCGCCGCCGTCAGCAGGATGAACGACGTGGTTACCCAGCTTACGAGAGAGACTTTGCCCCGAGACCCGATGAATACGATCCCGCACCGTATTCATCCACCTCCCGCCAGTCGCCCTCCCCTCCACGGTCTCATGCGCCTCATCCTCCTCGTTCGTCTCGCCGCTGTTCTCCGTCACCGTTTCGGCGTACGTCATCACCCCTGCGTCCCGCGCCGATCTCTCTGGATTCGGAAAACTAGAAGGTGCAGTTTTTGGAGGGGAAACTGCTTGTTGTCGGAACGTTACAACTCCTCCGTCTCGTCCAGCTAATTTACTACCTGTTTGTGTGGAAGGTGTTTTTGTTGACGCCCTTATAGACACTGGAGCCGCAATTTCGGTAATTGATCGTGAATTGTGTTTTCGCCTGCGTAAAGTGCAAACTTCTTATGCCGGTCCCATGTTATGCGGCGCTAATGACAGTCCAATTTGCCCGACCGGTTTGTGCACTGCTCGTGTTCTCATCGATGGAATCCGTCATCACATACAATTGGCTGTGCTGTCTTCGTGCGCTCATGAGATAATCTTAGGCTGGGACTTCTTGTCAGTGGCGTCTGCTGTAATTTCGTGTGGTCAGCCCCTCATTCGTATTACGGACACTGAGCTTTCTTCTGCTGCCGACATTTCGTCGCCCAACCTTGTGACAGCTGCGGATTTCCTCCTGCCTCCCGGACAAGAACGTGTCCTTACGATCAAGTCACGAGACATTCTAGATGGTGACGCTGTGGTTGTTCCTTGCCAGCGCTGCATTTTTCGAGGGATCACCATCGCATCTTGTTTAGTGCGGTTCTCCCGTGGTTATGCAAGCATCACAGCCTGCAACACGACGCCAGAACCACTTCTTTTGCCAGAGGGAACCACTGTTGCCAGCATTACCGAAGAGGCAGCGCTTTGTGTCGTCACTGGTTCATCTGCTTCGTCATTCTCCAAGTGTATGCCAGCGGAAGATGCATTTTCTGCTCTCAAGGCCACTTTATGTGAACATCTCAACCCAACGCAAACTGATGCCTTGCTAGCGTTATTAATGAAGCATAAAACTTGCTTTGACGTTTGTTCCGAAGGTCTGGGTCAAACAACAGTGACCGCCCATCGTATCGACACCGACGGATCCCGTGTGATTCGCCGCCGCCCTTACCGTGTGTCGGCTTCTGAACGCAAGCTTATAGAAGAACAAGTCAACGACATGCTCGCGCGCAACGTCATCAGGCCTTCGACAAGCGCATGGTCTTCTCCTGTCGTACTAGTGAAAAAAAAAAGGATGGCTCGGTACGGTTTTGCATTGATTACAGATCACTCAACAAAATCACTCGTAAGGACGTCTACCCAATGCCTCGCATTGACGACGCTCTTGATACTTTACAAGGTGCCGAGTACTTTTCAAGTCTCGACTTGCACTCCGGTTATTGGCAGATTCCAATGCACGAGCCTGATAAAGAGAAGACTGCGTTTGCTACGCCAGATGGTCTCTTTGAATTCAATGTGATGCCTTTTGGCCTGTGCAATGCCCCAGCCACATTCGAACGGATGATAGACACGGTACTGCGGGGATTAAAATGGAAGACCTGCCTTTGCTACCTGGACGACATTGTCATCTTTTCGTCCA